TACTCGCTAGATAATTTTTATGCAATTATGATACTGGTCAAGAGGACCAATCCTTCAGGGATAACCAAATCTAGGTCAGTATTCAAATTCACTAGTGATACTTTTAATTATATAATCCTTCAAGGAACTCAAATATATAGGCATAATATTCAACAGGATATTTGTTCTGCAATTCATGACAAAATTAGAAAATAGCTATAGAAGTTGCATACCATTCATTTGGTTAATTAGTCAGTTAGACTAAAGATCAAGATATTCAAATTAATTTAGGCTCAATAAATTTGGATCAAGTCCATACTCAATGCATAATAAACAACGAAACAAAATATACAACTATAATTTCCAAACTAAATTCATGTCGTAATTGCATATTTTGATAGCTTCACCATATGTGGTCCAAACAACATACACAAGTCACATGTTAAAATTAATCCACAAATGCTTCATGTGTATTTAGATGGATGGACAAAATAATAATATATGTGGGCATTTTTATTTTATAACTATTCATGAGTATAACAATTGAAGTATGAGAGATTTCATTACATAAGTTATATAATATTTTTCGTCCATCATCGAAAGTAATCATTATTTAGAGGATCACATCTATTGGACATATTTTATGTGTGTTACCACTTTCAAATCTTAACAAGTAATGTGAAAAATAATAGGATGCATATCAAACAATAGATGCTCATATACAAATAAGGACAATTAAATCAAGGAGACATATAGTTTTATAGAAGAGATAATTTTCTATCATATACCTCATGTGACAAATTGTACTTTTGTACATGTGCTTCTGGCACTAATACAATCTAAAATAACTAATTTTATATAACTATTCTTGATGTATTATGTGGTTGGATTTCATTATTCTCATTTATTACTTCAGGAATGCTAACTGTCCATAACAAAACATAAAATATTCGATAGTATCTTAATTCAAAATTAGTCATCAAGACTTACTCATAGTGTATCATTCTTTTATTTCGATAATTATATCGGCGTTGATCCTTCAGGGAGTATATAAAATTATTACTGTTAACTTATAGGCGATCCTTCAGGGATTTTGTAAGAACTTCATTGTCAACTTATGATAAATGAAATATGGATTGTCATCTTATAGACAACAACTAATACATTGTTCTAATCATTCTATCCATCAATGTTTAATATTAGTGCCTTTCTGGAACTACTAGTATTCAATTAAATTTTATACATTTGGATAGATTCGTTAAATAAAATTTCATCATTTTCATAATTGCACAATTCTATCTTCTTATCCAACCATATTATAAAGATGATCATAAATTGGGCTATGCAGCATCAATAATATATTATCCAATATTTCCACTATTTTTTGTATATAAACTTCCTCTCATATACAATAGATATACTTATAATATCACATGAATTTTTATAGCACTAAAAACATTAGAAAAGAACCAAATTCATAAATCGGCCTTCCTGATGAAAAGAAGTTGAACAAAATGGCATCGATTTCACTTCTGCAAAAGTAATGAAGAACCAAATTCTTGGCGATATTATTAGAACTCGAATTGTGCTTAATTGAGAAGTTATGTTTGTCTTCCACTTAATTTAAGAAAAGATAAATCCATAATGTGAAATTTAATATGTAAATGAGGCTCTGCTGAAATTATGTTTTCACGCAGTTGTTGGTGTCCAGTGGTGGCTTGGCTTTTCTGTTAACAAATTAGAGCGTAGCAACCTCAAACTTGAAACTTTTCCTTGCTTATTCTGATTTGGAGGTTAGAATTTTATATTTTTCAAAGTGCTAGATATCTCAGATTTCGATTTTATATGAGTTGGGGAACTATTGTTCTCTATTATTTTACCCATTTGGTGAGGAAATTTTGTGTGAATGAATATACCATGGTGTAGGAAAGGGAATTATTGGAGGTGAAGCATGGCCTGCTTTAGATGGCTGCAGAGACATTGGCCATCAGTGGTAATAATGCCCAGCTTCATTTCATTCGGTGTGTGCTGCAATCACTGAGACTAGAAATCAAGGTACAAAAATCATTTAAAAATGATCATTATATTTGTGAATGTGGTTATTTAACCTGATAAATGTTGAATAATGTGATTATACAAGTTTCTCGGAATAAAACCTGTTTTACTTCTTATTTATTACATTGATCTTACCCAAAAAAAAAAAAAAAGAAAGAAAGGAACAAAAATCTAACTTATGGTACATGTCGAAGTGTATTATCTTTTTCATGTTACTCTACGAAAGGGAAATCAATAGAAATATTAAACGAGCTGCTCTAGCGGTTTTTGCCAAGCGAAGCAAACTTTGGGCTAAACTGTCTAGGCAAAAGGAAACCCAGGTTTCCTATGGTCAATGATAATGTGAAGTGGGTATGGACGGTCGAGAGGGTGAAAAGCGAGGTGGGATTGTGGCAAGTAGTGTTCCACAAGTGAAATTTTCTATCTGTACCTTAGCGGTAACCCCAACAAGTGCTGCTCCTTGTATTGATATGCCCATTAGATTAAATGGAATGAAGTGCGTGTTATAATTTCCTATTTATTTTTATTATTGTTATTATTTTTATCTCTAAAGAGACCATGTTTTCTATTAGTTCACTACAATATGATGTTCATAGTGACGGAAATTTTGATCCAGATAATCCTGAAGACATAAAGTGCCGTGTGGTGATCTGAGGTGAAGTTTTACGAATGTCTTTAGGTGATATCTATTGGATATTTTTCTGAATTTGAATGTTGAATGATGAGGATAAAAATCTTATTTGGTTATGTTGATTGATATATAAGGAATGTGGTTTTCTATGATTGTTCTGTTTCGGTATACAGTTAAAGCTAAACCTCTCTGTGTTCTTGATTCTTTTCAATATTTCCTGCTTTAAATATTGGCTATTTTTTTATTCTAATGTTCACAAGTTTGTTATGTTCCTATCAAGACAGTTTAGATCTTAATTTTGGTTAGTGATGTTGGAGCTGGGTAAAAGCACATTGGACTATTTTTATTGCTGCCTATAGTAACATAGTTTCGAGTCTCTTGCCTTGAAATGATAAACAAAAGTCAAACCTCGACAGTGATATTTCGTGTAATTAATGTTGACGTTTGGTTAATTTTTGTTCTTGAATCGTTTTGCTGTGTGAGCAACTCAAATATTTGAAATTTTATGGTTGAGATGCTTAGGATAATTGCTCCACCAATATTTGTATTTTTACTTTACCTTTTTCCAGAATTATGTTTTGTGCTCATATTAAAGTTAGCTGCTTAAAACACATTTGTTATTAGGGGATGCATTTGCAAATTGAATTTAGTTATTGTCGTTCATATGTTTTAAGACATGGTGTCAATGCATTGTAATTGATTAAAAAATTATATTTGCCTTCGAAATTGGTGCACCTAAGAAAGGTTCTTAGTTCATCTCGGGGGCCATCCCATTTCGGGAAGAAGAAAAGAATGGATTTCTTAATACAATTAATTTCGGATATTTTTTTTACATAAAATCGATTCCACCGACTCAATATCGAATTGAAATCGGATTTCACCTACAAATTTGGAATCTAATATAAAATACACATTGAAATCAGATATCCTAAAATAAAGGAATTGGGTTATTCATCTCAAATACAAATCCATATCAAAATATCAAAATACGATGGAATAAGAATTTCAAATCAACTACAATTAATCTCTTTTCACAATATATGGAATAGGAATTTCAAATCAACTACAATTCATCTCTTTCCACAATATTTTATTTTAAAAGTCAAATTTAAATGGATTTAAACTCGAGATTTTGTCTCAAACTCGAGAATAATGTGTACGTAAATAGATTGATTATTTCTTTATTTACAAAAGTCTACATTGGACAAATTTCTACAAGATTTTTTTACCGATTTTAAACTCTCTTTTAACAACAATACATATATCTTACGATCAACATAAAATCACATTCTTTGCAATGGATCAATCATCTGGGTTAATCAAAGATGTTGATAGGAACAAGAGACCTATGCACATACAAGTTGCATCTCGAGTTTATTTTGCATGATAAAACTGTAAGCGATATGGTTTCGAATTATTTTTTCAATATAAAAATAAGCATATGTTCAAATTTAGTATTTACATACCATATTAGTTATTTTTCAATTTGCTGTTTCAAATTATTTGTCAAGGAAAATCGCATTACGGCGTGGCTACGGGCAGTCTATTTGCCGGCGTTTAGAGAGAGGAATCTTGAAGAGGGTATGGCCATTGCTATACGAAACTACCAAGTTGAAAGCAACATTGGTATGTATCGATCTGTCGCCGGCAAGTTTAAGATAATATTGCATGGGAGCACTATATTTTTGAAGTGCAAAGAAACTTTTCCTACGTTTCGATTTCAATTCAGAGACTTTGAAACTTTACAAAATGTCAACAAAATTGACGAATCAATTCTATTTGGTAATATTATTTTATTATGTTTCTAATATTATTTGATGTGTTTGAATAATTGATTATTTAAAAGAGGTTGAAGATATTAGTTTGTGAGAATGACGAGTTACCCAATAATTAAACTCATAATGTTGTGTACAAGGAGGTCTTTAATAATATATGATTGTTTTTTTATCGAATACTAACTTTTGTACAATTTCCCTATGTATTATAAAACTTTTATTTAATTATGCATCTTAAAATATAATATTCTCCAAAGAAATCTAGCCCGTGCATCGCACGGGTCACGTACTAGTATATATAGATATAGATATAGATATAGATATAGATGCAATAAAAATATAAATTGTTAGTACATCGTGCAATTTTCTCTCAAGTCAGGAAGGTATGGGCCGGCAGTAAATCCCATTGGGCGCCCCTCAATAGCAATACAGAAGTTAAGAAACTTTGACATTTGTTTGATGGGCCATTAAACCCATGTGGCCCATAAGTATGAAATCCTCAATGTAGCAAGTAAGCCTTAACTCTAGTGAGCCGGACCAATTTGTGGCAATGTGTGCACCACGCGTTCACTAACGAGAGCTTGGACCGTGCCTTTTCACGCACCTTCCCATTTCCCAATTAACGCTATAGCTGAAAACTCGAGTCAGAAAATTTCATCTCCTTTTTTCAATCTTCAAGCTGATCGAGCTCAAAATTTGTTGATTTTTCGGAACAGAAAATGCTGGGCCGTCTCGCTTCGCGGCGCCTTCTTGAGATCCGTCAAGCTTTCCGTCAGCTTCCCCAGGTTTTTTTTTGCTTTAATTTGTTTTTTTTTAGCGTCTTGTTTCCATTGCAAACGGTGATTGTGATTTATTTTGCAGGCATCGAGATCGTTGTCGACTGCTTTGAACTACGTGAGTTGTTGATTTTTCCTGTGAATTTTTTATGCGCATTTGATTTGTTGTTTTTCCGAATAAAGTTGATTTTTCAAGTTTCTGTGACGCAGCATATTGATAGCCCGGATAATAAAGCAGACCTGCCATGGGAATTCACTGACGCGAACAAAGAGAAGGTTAGTGGTAATCGGCGTTTAAGCTAATCGGAAAGCTCTGGCTTCTTTTGTTACTTGAAATTTAAATGTGCTTGATTTGAAATTTCAGTTACAGAGAGCTTGTTTTCGCTAAATTTGTTGTTTGATTGTGTTAACTTGTTGTAAGGGAAAATTGGGCTTTTGCTTTCTTGATTTCAGCTTATTGAAAATCTCAAGCTTCTTTTTATTTGAAATTAGAATGTGCTTGATTTGAAAGTTCAGATGCAGAGAGCTTGTACTGTTTATTGGTGTTTAGCTTACTGTAAGGGAGAATTGGGGTTTTCTTTGTGGACGGGTAATGGGAAATTTGATTCAATTCCCTATTTCCACGTCATTTGCCATTGAAATAGTTCTGCGGCAGAGTTTTTTGCTTTTCAGTCTGAAGTTCCAAAATCTGATTTATATGTCAATGTTGTGAACCTGTTAAACGAATCGAGCCACTCCATGAGCTCTCGAGCTCGTTCAGCTAATGAGTCGAGCTCATTAAGGCTCACGAATAGGGGTTTTTACGTAATTTTATGAATTTTCACCTCAGCTCGATAAAGGCTCGAGTCCGAGCTCGAGCATCAGTAGTTTGGCTCGGTTCGTTTACACCTTTGGCCCTGTAATCGGTACTTGGAACATTCGTGGTTTGAAATTGTTTATTTTCTATTTCAGAAATAAACTTTGGGCAATCTTTCTAACGAGTATTGCTATATTATGAAGTTACTTACCATGAGATTACGTGAATGTCTGGCAAGCTGTCACTCTGTGGTTGGAGCAACTAGGATGATGTCTATTCTATTTATGTTTCAATCCTTACTTTCACTTTGTGAATATGTTCTTATTTTATATTGTTTGTCCCATTTGGAAAATTTAGTTGCTCTCTTGATAGTTTAACTTAAATGGTGTCACGCTGGTGAAATACCCTTTAGTAGGTTCAGCAATTGATGTTTGCTCGGGTTTTCTGGTGGAAATTCCTGTTAATTTTATATGGAATTGGTGATGTAGTTACCCTGTTTACGCACTGTGGTCCCCGAGTGACTAATATCTTAACATGACCCATGAAATGACATTCTCAACACTTCTGCGCCTAGTTGTTTCTGAAATTTGTATTTTCTTTGGTTGTTCATATCTTATGAGAGATTGGTAGTGAACTTCACTGCCAGTACATGGGTTTTCAGTGTTCTCTACTAAACTAATGATTAAATCTGTGAGATGATCGAACAAAGTCGTTTTATGGAATTAAACTGAATGTTTCTTTCATTATATCGATAGAAACTTTGAATTATAAATAATCTTAAATTTTCAGCAATTTGTGTGCAGGTTAAGGAGATATTATCCCACTATCCGTCTAACTATAAGCAATCTGCTGTCATTCCTTTGCTTGATCTTGCACAACAACAGAATGGAGGTTGGCTCCCAGTTTCAGCGATGAACCACGTATGTTAATTGCATCTTTAATATTGGCATTTATTGAATACATTTATTAATTTGCTAAGTCTGAGTTGGATAGCACCCATCGAAACTGCTTGTGTGATTTGTGAAGCTTTAATAAGGGAGCTGATATGCTCAACACTTGTGTAGGCAATTNCAAACTTGAGTAATAGCAACTTTTTGCTTACATACCTGTAAACCATTATTGCAGAAAAAAAATTAAAAAAGAAATAGTTACGAAAGAGGAGCACGTAAATAGTTTGTGCATCCCTTCCTGGTCATTCTGGCCTTTAGCTTCATCAGTAATGGGCATATAGTAAATGCACTTAAGCAACACTTTATTTCAGAAAAAAATGCAAATCATGGCAAGAAAATTCTTCTTATCTTATATAGAGGCGATTTCTATACTCCTTTTCCAAACGATGATATCTGAAACTGCTCCTGTGGGACAGCTTTATTTGCCACCTCAGGTCTACCATTCCCATATACATTATCGAAGATCATTGCTGATCTGATGACATGCAATTATATTGCATTTTCCCCTAAGCATCTTGTATACTTTTGTTCCACTTAAGGTTGATATGTTCACTTGTTAGTCTGCCTGTTTAACTCTACCCTGTCATAGAAGAATCCAGCATCTTCACTGAAAGCTTCTGCCAGTCATCTTTATGAAACTCTTCCATATGTCTACTAAATAACAACTGTGTGAGGTCTAATGAAAAGGTCTCATGACTTGTAGGATGTTCCGTCTCTTACTATATGCTTCAATATATTATTTAACATTATCTCATAAATAATATTTAACCAATTCATTTTTTCAACCGATAATTGTGTAATTTTTCGTATTTATTATAGGTAGCTAAAGTCATTGAAGTTGCTCCAATTCGTGTATATGAAGTGGCAACATTTTATTCGATGTTCAACCGAACAAAGGTAAGTTATTCTGCATTGAGTTTT